TCTATGGGTATCTGTGTCAGTCTATGGGTCTCTGTGTGAGTCTATGGGTCTCTGTGTGAGTCTATGGGTCTCTGTGTGAGTCTATGTGTCTCTGTGTGAGTCTATGGGTCTCTGTGTGAGTATATGTGTCTCTGTGTGTGAGTCTATGGGTCTCTGTGTCAGTCTATGGGTCTCTGTGTGAGTCTATGTGTCTCTGTGTGAGTCTACGTGTCTCTGTGTGAGTCTATGTGTCTCTGTGTGAGTCTATGGGTCTCTGTGTGAGTCTATGGGTCTCTGTGTGAGTCTATGGGTCTCTCTGTGAGTCTACGGGTCTCTGTGTGAGTCTATGGGTCTCTGTGTGTATGTTGAACTTCTTTCGCACCACCTTTTGCACCCCAACAGCAGCTAATGGCAGTTGCGCGACAGAAAGCAGTTCTAAAGAAACGAGTTTTCCATCGCGATGATTTTTCAAGCGCATGGCTCCACAGCGCGGGCCCACTAAGACCCAGAGGTTGCAACCGGGTACCCGATACCCGTACCCTACCCGATACCCGGCCGGGTACGGGTAGCCGGGTATCGGATAGGGTACGGGTACCCATTTGCGACCCTGGTGCGGCCGGGTACGGGTACGGGTAAGGAATCAAAACCCGCTTGCGACGTCTGCTGAGACCTCCCCGCCGAGCCTGTAGAGGCGGGGCGCTCGCGAGGTTCCTGCCGCGCTCACCGCCGCCGCCGCCGCGTGCCGACAGAGTCGTCGTTGGCGTTCCTTCAGCCGGCATCGCCATGTTGGTTGGCCAATACCGCGTGACTTTGTACGAGCGATCGAACGTGCGCGCGTGTGCGTGCGTGCGTACGTGTGTGTGCGTTTGTGCACGTGTGCGCCTGTATGTATGTGTGTGTGCGTGTGCATGTATGCGTGTGCGCGTGTGTGTATTCGTATGCGTGCGCGTGTACGTGTGTGTGTGCGTGCGAGTGTGCGTGTCTCCGTGTACATGCATGTGTGTGTGCGTGTGTGTATGCGTGTGTGCGTGTGCGTGTGTGTGTGTGTGTGCGTGTGTGAGTGAGTGAATGAGTGTGTGTGTGTAAGTGTGAGCGAGTGAATGAGTGAGCGAGTGAGTGAATGAGCGAGTGAATGAATGAGTGAGTGAATGAGTGTGTGAGTGAGTGAGTGTGTGAATGAGTGTGTGAATGAGTGTGTGAATGAGTGAGTGAGTGAATGAGTCAGTAAGCAAACTCGCCGGTGGCGCATCGGCCAGCCATCTCAGTCAGTCGACCCACGGCGCCTGCCGGGTCTGTCCCGTCACCTCCTGCCAGCGGGCGTTCGACACTTCACGTGGTCCTCACGTGCACCTAGCCTGGCACGAGCGCCATGGTGACGTCACCGCCATTGTCTCGCTACGTGGGGAGCGGTGGTGGTAGCGGCAGCAGCAGCGCTATGAACCCGGCGACCCAAGTTCGATTCCCGCTCACGGCCAACGCCAGCGACGCTTCGATCTAAACCGGTCCTGCGTCCCTTCCTCTAGGTCGACTCGACCTCAAATGAGTACCCGGTGTGTAAACATCGCCACTGGGGAGACAAAGGCGGCCGGGCGTGGTGCCGACCTCCCGCCATCCTCGCGTGCCACTCGTTAAGAGCACTTGCCCCAGCAGTCTGTGGGAGGCTACATGGGGGACCTTTGTCTTCATGTCTAGCTACGGGGGAGGAAACTCGTGCACAACACGGGGAAGAGAATACACAGACTCACTCACTCTCTCACACACTCTCTCTCTCTCACCCACTCTCGCATCAATTACCATCCCACACTCTGACACTCCAATTCACCGACTCCTCGAGATTCGAGGAGCCGAGTGCCCGGCTTACCGTGTGCCGGAGTAAACATCGCCACCGGGGAGACAAAGGCGGCCGGGCAGTCGTGGTGCTGGCCACCTGCCCCCTCGTGAGCCACGGTGCCGGTAGCCTCCGTAGGTGCTGCTGCTGCTACTCGCTACCAACATGACTTGCCCTATGCCCAACGTGTGTGTGTGTGTGCAAACACTATACTTACTGTGTGTGTGTACAAACACTATACCCACTGTGTGTGTGTGTGTACAAACACTATACCCACTGTGTGTGTGTGTGTACAAACACTATACCCACTGTGTGTGTGTGTGCAAACACTATACTCACTGTGTGTGTGTGTGTGCAAACACTATACTTACTGTGTGTGTGTACAAACACTATACCCACTGTGTGTGTGTGTGTACAAACACTATACCCACTGTGTGTGTGTGTGTACAAACACTATACTCACTGTGTGTGTGTGTGTACAAACACTATACCCACTGTGTGTGTGTGTGTACAAACACTATACTCACTGTGTGTGTGTGTGTGTGTACACACACTATACTCACTGTGTGTGTGTGTGTGTACAAACACAATACTCACTGTGTGTGTGTGTGTACAAACACTATACTCACTGTGTGTGTGTGTGTACAAACACTATACTCACTGTGTGTGTGTGTACAAACACTATACCACTGTGTGTGTGTGTGTACAAACACTATACTCACTGTGTGTGTGTGTGTACAAACACTATACCACTGGTGTGTGTGTGTACAAACACTATACTCACTGTGTGTGTGTGTGTGTACAAACACTATACTCCACTGTGTGTGTGTGTGTACAAACACTATACTTACTGGGGTGGTGTGGTGTACAAACACTATACTCACTGTGTGTGTGGTGTACAAACACTATACTTACTGTGTGTGTGTGTACAAAACCACTATACTCACTGTGTCTGTGTGTGTGTACAAACACTATACTCACTGTGTGTGTGTGGTGTACAAACACTATGACTCACTGTGTGTGTGTGTGTACAAACAACTATACTCACTGTGTGTGTGGGTGTACAAACACTATACTCACTGTGTGTGGTGTGTGTACAAACACTATACTCACTGTGTGGTGTGTGTACTGTGTGTGTGTGTACACCCACACTATACTCACTGTGGTGTGTGTGTGGTACAAACACTAATACTTACTGTAGGTGTGTGTGTACAAACACTATACTCACTGTGTGTGTGTGTGTACAACACTATATTCACTGTGTGTGTGTGGGTGTGTACACACACTATACTCACTGGATGTGTGTGTGTGTACAAACAACTATACTCATGTGTGTGTGGTGTGTACAAACACTATACTCACTGTGTGTGTGTGTGTACAACACTATACTCACTGTGTGTGTGTGTACAAACACTATACTCACTGTGTGGTGTGTGTACAAACACTATACTCACTGTGTGTGTGTGTACAAACACTATACTCACTGTGTGTGTGTGTACAAAACACTATACTCACTGTGTGTGTGTGTACAAACACTATACTCACTGTGTGTGTGTGTGTACAACACTATACTCACTGTGTGTGTGTGTACAAACACTATACTCACTGTGTGTGTGTGTGTACAAACACTATACTCACGTGTGTGTGTGTGTACAAACACTATACTCACTGTGTGTGTGTGTACAAACACTATACCTCACTGTGTGTGTGGTGTACAAACACTTATACTCACTGTGTGTGTGTGTACAAACACTATACTCACTGTGTGTGTGTGTGTACAAACACTATACTCACTGTGTGTGTGTGTGTACAAACACTATACTCACTGTGTGTGTGTGTACAAACACTATACTCACTGTGTGGTGTGTGTACAACACTATACTCACTGTGTGTGTGTGTACAAACACTATACTCACTGTGTGTGTGTGTGTACAAACACTATACTCACTGTGTGTGTGTGTACAAACACTATACTCACTGTGTGTGTGTGTACAAACACTATACTCACTGTGTGTGTGTGTACAAACACTATACTCACTGTGTGTGTGTGTACAAACACTATACTCACTGTGTGTGTGTGTACAAACACTATACTCACTGTGTGTGTGTGTGTACAAACACTATACTCACTGTGTGTGTGTGTACAAACACTATACCCACTGTGTGTGTGTGTGTACAAACACTATACTCACTGTGTGTGTGTGTACAAACACTATACCCACTGTGTGTGTGTGTGTACAAACACTATACTCACTGTGTGTGTGTGTGTACAAACACTATACTCACTGTGTGTGTGTGTGTACAAACACTATACTCACTGTGTGTGTGTGTGTACAAACACTATACTCACTGTGTGTGTGTGTACAAACACTATACTCACTGTGTGTGTGTGTGTACAAACACTATACTCACTGTGTGTGTGTGTACAAACACTATACTCACTGTGTGTGTGTGTGTACAAACACTATACTCACTGTGTGTGTGTGTACAAACACTATACTCACTGTGTGTGTGTGTACAAACACTATACTCACTGTGTGTGTGTGTACAAACACTATACCCACTGTGTGTGTGTACAAACACTATATCCACTGTGTGTGTGTGTACAAACACTATACTCACTGTGTGTGTGTGTACACACACTATACTCACTGTGTGTGTGCAAACACTATACTCACTGTGTGTGTGTGTGCAAACACTATACTCACTGTGTGTGTGTGTACAAACACTATACTCACTGTGTGTGTGTGTACAAACACTATACTCACTGTGTGTGTGTGTACAAACACTATACTCACTGTGTGTGTGTGTACAAACACTATACCCACTGTGTGTGTGTACAAACACTATATCCACTGTGTGTGTGTGTACAAACACTATACCCACTGTGTGTGTGTGTGTACAAACACTATACTCACTGTGTGTGTGTGTGTACAAACACTATATCCACTGTGTGTGTGTGTACAAACACTATACTCACTGTGTGTGTGTACAAACACTATACCCACTGTGTGTGTGTGTGTACAAACACTATACTCACTGTGTGTGTGTGTGGGGGGGGGAGGTGGGGAGGCAACTGGGTGACGCTTGCGCCAGGCTACGTGCACCTGGCCTGGCGCAAGCTGCTGCTGCTGTTGTTGTTGCTGCTGCTGTTGTTGTTGTTGTGGGTGGTGGTGGGGGTGGTGGGACTCACTCTGCAGGATGTACTCCAGCTCCTCCGTCATGCAACCCTCCACCGTCTTCGTGCCCTCCTCCTCCAGCCGCTGGTGAATCGCTGCAAGAGACAAAGACAAAAGACCCCGGATAGCCTTCACAGACCCGCTGGGGCAAGTGCAGTTAGCGAGCGGCACCTACGAAGGCCGGCCACCGTTGCACGCGATGGGGTGGGTGGCCAGCACCACGCCCGGCCGCCTTTGTCTCCCCAGTGGCGGTGTTCACAACACACAGTACTCATTTACGGCTGAGTCGACCTAAGGGAGGCCCAGGACCGGTTCAGATAACCGTCACTGGCGTTGGCGGCCGTGAGCAGGAATCGAACTCGGGTCACCGGGTTCGTAGCGCGCTAACCGCTCCACCACCGCTCCCCTACACACATCGACCTAACAGACAATTGCTGCTCTAAAGCAACGCAATATTACGCTCATCAGATCTAGCGACACGCATTCTCACACCTGCTGGCCCAATGATCTTGACACGGCCATTATAAAACCTCCCCCGAGAATGATTGCGACACATTCAGCCCAATGACTTGAATCTCGGACCTCAGTGTCTCTGGCTCAGAGTCTGGGACACGATCATTATGAACCTCCTGGGAGAGAGACACCCAGACCCAGGGCCTGAACCCAGGGCCTCAGTGTCTCTGGCTCAGAGTCTGGGACACGATCATCATGAACCCCCTGGGAGAGAGACACCCAGACCCAGGGCCTGAACCCAGGGCCTCAGTGTCTCTGGCTTAGAGTCTGGGACACGATCATCATGAACCCCCTGGGAGAGAGACACCCAGACCCACGGCCTGAACCCAGGGCCTCAGTGTCTCTAACTCAGAGTCTGGGACACGATCATCATGAACCCCCTGGGAGAGAGACACCCAGACCCAGGGCCTGAACCCAGGGCCTCAGTGTCTCTGGCTCAGAGTCTGGGACACGATCATCATGAACCCCCTGGGAGAGAGACACCCAGACCCAGGGCCTGAACCCAGGGCCTCAGTGTCTCTGGCTCAGAGTCTGGGACACGGTCATTATGAACCCCCTGGGAGAGAGACACCCAGACCCAGGGCCTGAACCCAGGGCCTCAGTGTCTCTGGCTCAGAGTGTGTGACACGGTCATTATGAACCCCCTGGGAGAGAGACACCCAGACCCAGGGCCTGAACCCAGGTCCTCAGTGTCTCTGGCTCAGAGTCTGAGACACGGTCATTATGAACCTCCTGGGAGAGAGACACCCAGACCCAGGGCCTGAACTCAGGTCCTCAGTGTCTCTGGCTCAGAGTCTGGGACACGGTCATTATGAACCCCCTGGGAGAGAGACACCCAGACCCACCGCGCAAACCCAAGACGTGGATGCTAGCAAGTCTCCGACCCGGCCATTATAATCCTCCAGGGAGGATGTCATTAGCATTAAAATTGCTCCATTTTCCCGTCATTAATAATAATAATCAGAGGGCGACCGCTTTCCAACAGGGGCTTGTGGGCGGCCCCTCTGGACGCACCCCGCACGTAGCGGGGAATCCGTGTCTTGTCTTTGTGTGCGTCTGTGTGCGAGTGTGTGGACATGTGAAAGTGAGAGCGAGTGAGGGAGGGAGAGCGAGCGAGTGAAAGCGAGCGAGTGAGTGAGAGCGAGTGAGAGTGAGCGAGCGAGAGTGAGCGAGTACGTGTGACCGAGCGAGCGGGTGTCAGTGAGCGAGCATGAGCGAGTGTGAGTGAGTGAGCGAGAGTGAGTGAGTGAGCGTGAGCGAGTGAGAGGGTGAGCGAGTAAGCGAGAGGGTGAGCGAGTAAGCGAGAGAGTGAGCGAGTGTGAGTGAGTGAGTGAGCGTGAGCGAGTGAGAGGGTGAGCGAGTAAACGAGAGGGTGAGCGAGTGTGAGTGAGTGAGTGAGCGAGTATGCGAGCGAGTGAGCGAGAAAGCGAGAGAGTGAGCGAGTGTGAGCGAGTGAGTGAGCGAGTGAGCATGCGTGAGTGAGCGTGTGAATGTGAAAGTGAGCGTGAATGAGCCAGTGAGAGTGAGCGAGTATAAACGAGCGTGAGTGAGTAAGTGAGCGAGTGAGTGAGTGTGAGTGAGCGTGTGAATGTGAGAGTGAGCGAGTGAGTATGCGTGAGTGAGCGTGTGAATGTGACAGTGAGTGTGAATGAGCCAGTGAGAGTGAGCGAGCATAAACGAGCGTGAGTGAGTAAGTGAGCGAGTGAGCATGCGTGAGTGAGCGTGTGAATGTGAAAGTGAGCGTGAATGAGCCAGTGAGAGTGAGCGAGCATAAACGAGCGTGAGTGAGTAAGTGAGCGAGTGAGTGAGTGTGAGTGAGCGTGTGAATGTGAGAGTGAGTGAGTGAGTATGCGTGAGTGAGCGTGTGAATGTGACAGTGAGTGTGAATGAGCCAATGAGAGAGCGAGTGTGAGTGAGCAAGTGTCAGAGTGAGCGAGTCAGCGAGTGTAAGAGTAAGCGGGTGAGTGAGTGAGCGTGATAGTGAGCGAGTGAGAACGAGCGAGTGAGCAATTGAGTGAGTGTGAGAGCGTGCGAGTGGGCGAGCGAGTGTGAACGAGCGAGTGTGTGAGCGGGTGAGCGAGTGTGAGAGTGAGCGAGTCAGCGAGCGAGTGTGAGCGAGTGTGTGAGCGAGCGAGTGAGCGAGCGAGTGTGATCGTAAGAGAGTGAGCGAGTGTGATAGCGAGCGAGCGAGTGAGCGAGTGTGAGCGAGTGAGCGAGCGAGCGTGAGAGAGTAAGTGCGTGAGCTAGTGTGATAGCGAGTGTGAGCGAGTGTGGAGTTTGTATTCTCTCCCCCTGCTCTGCGTGGGTTTTCTCCGACTTCTCCGGTTTCCTCCCAAAGTAAAAACCAAAACCCGCCAACACAATGTCACCGGCATCGAGTCAAAACGACGTGGAAATTGACTCAATACGAGACCGAGGCCTTCACAGACTGTGTGGCGAGTGCTGTTAGCAGCGAGCGGCAGCAGCAGCGCCTACGAAGGCTACCGGCGCTGTGGCACACGAGGGGGCGGGTGGCCAGCACCACGCCCGGCCGCCTTTGTCTCCCCAGTGGCGGTGTTTACTACGCACCGTACCGGGTACTCGTTTTGAGGCTGAGTCGATCTAGGGGAGGAGGCCCAGGGGCACCGCTTCCGATAATCGCCACGACCGCTGCTGTCGGTGGCCGTGAGCGCGAATCGAACTCGGGGGTCCGATGCCGTGTGCGTAGTGCTGCTCGGCGCGCTAACCGCGGCGCCACCGCTCGATTGGGACCGCCAGCAAGCTGGCAGCACCCTCGTGGGGACGAGACGGCGAGGACTTCTCGGCTGAATAAGCGCAACGCCGATCGCTGCGATGGGCTACGTACAGTGGCAGGCGCTGGCTGTGTGGCAGGCTGTGTGGCAGGCTGGCTGTGTGACAGGCTGGCACCGGCTGTGTGGCAGACTGTGTGGCAGGCTGTGTGGCAGGCTGGCTGTGTGACAGGCTGTGTGGCAGACTGTGTGGCAGACTGTGTGACAGGCTGTGTGGCAGGCTGGCTGTGTGGCAGGCTGGCTGTGTGGCAGGCTGGCTGTGTGACAGGCTGTGTGGCAGGCTGGCTGTGTGGCAGGCTGGCTGTGTGACAGGCTGTGTGGCAGGCTGGCTGTGTGACAGGCTGTGTGGCAGGCTGGCTGTGTGGCAGGCTGGCTGTGTGGCAGGCTGGCTGTGTGACAGGCTGTGTGGCAGGCAGGCTGTGTGGCAGGCTGTGTGGCAGGCTGGCTGTGTGGCAGGCTGGCACCGGCTGTGTGGCAGACTGTGTGGCAGGCTGGCTGTGTGGCAGGCTGTGTGGCAGGCTGGCACCGGCTGTGTGGCAGACTGTGTGGCAGGCTGGCTGTGTGGCAGGCTGGCACCGGCTGTGTGGCAGACTGTGTGGCAGGCTGGCTGTGTGGCAGCTTGGCGCTGGCTGTGTGGCAGATTGTGTGACAGGCTGTGTGACAGGCTGTGTGGCAGACTGGCTGTGTGGCAGGCTGTGTGACAGGCTGTGTGGCAGACTGGCTGTGTGGCAGGCTGGCTGTGTGACAGGCTGTGTGGCAGACTGGCTGTGTGGCAGGCTGGCTGTGTGGCAGGCTGGCTGTGTGGCAGGCTGGCTGTGTGACAGGCTGTGTGGCAGACTGGCTGTGTGGCAGGCTGGCTGTGTGACAGGCTGTGTGGCAGACTGGCTGTGTGGCAGGCTGGCTGTGTGGCAGGCTGACTGTGTGACAGGCTGTGTGGTAGACTGGCTGTGTGGCAGGCTGTGTGGCAGACTGGCTGTGTGGCAGGCTGGCTGTGTGGCAGGCTGGCTGTGTGACAGGCTGTGTGGCAGACTGGCTGTGTGGCAGGCTGGCTGTGTGGCAGGCTGGCTGTGTGGCAGGCTGGCTGTGTGGCAGGCTGTCACTGGCTGTGTGGCAGACTGGCACTGGCTGTGTGGCAGCTTGGCGCTGGCTGGCGCGGCACGGCACACGCCGGGCTCACCTGACAGGGCATCCTGGGCCTCGAAGAACGTGCTGAGTCCCCCCTTGACGCACGAGAGGCCTCCCTCGTCCTTCCTGGCGGCCTGCTTGCGCAGGTTCTGCACGCCCACCCGCAGGTTCTCAAAGCTGCGGGCAGCCGAGAAGGCAAAGGCAAAGGTCAACCACCGCCGTGTAGCCTCCGACAGACCGTCGGGGCAAGTGCAGTTAGTAGCGAGCGGCAGCGGCGCTGACGCGCACGGAGGGGGACGTGGGTGGCCGGCACCACGCCCGGCCGCCTTTGTCTCTCCACCATTGTGGATGTTGACTACGCATCGCAATGGGTAACTCATTTGAGGCCGAGTCGACCTAGGGGAGGGCCCAGGACCAGTTGTGATAATCGCTGTCACTGGTGTTGGCCGTGAACGGGAATCAAACTCGGGTCACCCGGTGTAACCAGCAGCCACCTGGCCATCACATGACTCGTCATCATCGTCACGTGAAAACGTACAGCAGCCAAATAACTCTGAGCGCGTGGTGACATTCATTTTAAATGTGCAGGGAAAACCACGGGGAGAGACGCATGCTCCAAATATGCAGCAGCAGCAGGCGTCAGGGTCGGGATCGAACCCACGGCCTCCTGCACACCAGGCGAGGTAGTTAACATCTCCTAGCCACCGTCATGATGATGAGAGAGAGACACGCAAACTCCAAATATACAGCAGCAGGCGTCGGGGTCGTGATTGAACCCACGACCTCCTGCACACCAGGTGAGGTAGTTAACATCTCCTAGCCACCGTGATAATGATGAGAGAGAGACATGCAAACTCCAAATATACAGCAGCAGCAGGCGTCAGGGTCGGGATCGAACCCACGGCCTCCTGCACACCAGGCGAGGTAGTTAACATCTCCTAGCCACCGTGATGATGATGAGAGAGAGAGACACGCGAACTCCAAATATACAGCAGCAGGCGTCGGGGTCGTGATTGAACCCACGACCTCCTGCACACCAGGTGAGGTAGTTAACATCTCCTAGCCACCGTGATAATGATGAGAGAGAGACATGCAAACTCCAAATATACAGCAGCAGCAGGCGTCAGGGTCGGGATCGAACCCACGGCCTCCTGCACACCAGGCGAGGTAGTCAACATCTCCTAGCCACCGTGGGTAAAGTCTCTCCGTTAACAAGTGACCATCGGGTTACCGGTTTTTCTTTTTTGCGATTCCACGTGTCGCCTCGCACAAAGGAACCCCCCCCCCCCCAGATGGGTTTCGACCGAGCGTCAACAACAACAAGAGTTGACGCTCACCATCGATCTCATCTTCATTGCCAGTCGGTCACACAGGCTCGGACAGTCACACAGCCTCGGACGGTCACACAGCCTCGGTCGGTCACACAGCCTCGGACGGTCACACAGCCTCGGTCAGTCACACAGCCTCGGTCAGTCACACAGCCTCGGAAGGTCACACAGCCTCAGACGGTCACACAGCCTCGGACGGTCACACAGCCTCGGTCGGTCACACAGCCTCGGACGGTCACACAGCCTCGGACGGTCACACAGCCTCGGTCAGTCACACAGCCTCGGAAGGTCACACAGCCTCGGTCAGTCACACAGCCTCGGACGGTCACACAGCCTCGGTCAGTCACACAGCCTCGGTCAGTCACACAACCTCGGAAGGTCACACAGCCTCAGACGGTCACACAGCCTCCGAAGGTCACACAGCCTCGGTCAGTCACACAGCCTCAGACGGTCACACGGCCTCGGAAGGTCACATGGCCTCGGACGGTCACACAGCCTCGGTCAGTCACACAGCCTCGGTCAGTCACACAGCCTCGGTCAGTCACACAGCCTCGGTCAGTCACACAGCCTCGGACGGTCACACAGCCTCGGACGGTCACACAGCCTCGGTCAGTCACACAGCCTCGGAAGGTCACATGGCCTCGGACGGTCACATGGCCTCGGTCAGTCACACAGCCTCGGAAGGTCACACAGCCTCGGTCGGTCACACAGCCTCGGTCAGTCACACAGCCTCGGTCAGTCACACAGCCTCGGTCGGTCACACAGCCTCGGTCGGTCACACAGCCTCGGACGGTCACACAGCCTCGGTCGGTCACACAGCCTCGGTCGGTCACACAGCCTCGGTCAGTCACACAGCCTCGGTCAGTCACACAGCCTCGGTCAGTCACACAGCCTCGGACGGTCACACAGCCTCGGTCAGTCACACAGCCTCGGTCAGTCACACAGCCTCGGACGGTCACACAGCCTCGGTCAGTCACACAGCCTCGGTCAGTCACACAGCCTCGGTCAGTCACACAGCCTCGGTCAGTCACACAGCCTCGGAGGGTCAAACAGCCTCGGTCAGTCACACAGCCTCGGAGGGTCAAACAGCCTCGGTCAGTCACACAGCCTCAGAAGGTCACACAGCCTCGGTCAGTCACACAGCCTCGGACGGTCACACAGCCTCAGACGGTCACACAGCCTCAGACGGTCACACAGCCTCAGACGGTCACACAGCCTCAGACGGTCACACAGCCTCGGAAGGTCACACAGCCTCGGAAGGTCACACAGCCTCGGAAGGTCACACAGCCTCGGAAGGTCACACAGCCTCGGAAGGTCACACAGCCTCGGAAGGTCACACAGCCTCGGAAGGTCACACAGCCTCAGATGGTCACACAGCCTCAGACGGTCACACAGCCTCGGAAGGTCACACAGCCTCAGACGGTCACACAGCCTCGGAAGGTCACACAGCCTCAGATGGTCACACAGCCTCAGATGGTCACACAGCCTCGGAAGGTCACACAGCCTCAGACGGTCACAGCCTCAGATGGTCACACAGCCTCGGAAGGTCACACAGCCTCGGAAGGTCACACAGCCTCGGAAGGTCACACAGCCTCGGAAGGTCACACAGCCTCAGATGGTCACACAGCCTCGGAAGGTCACACAGCCTCGGAAGGTCACACAGCCTCAGATGGTCACACAGCCTCAGACGGTCACACAGCCTCGGAAGGTCACACAGCCTCGGAAGGTCACACAGCCTCGGACGGTCACACAGCCTCAGACGGTCACACAGCCTCGGAAGGTCACACAGCCTCAGACGGTCACACAGCCTCGGAAGGTCACACAGCCTCAGATGGTCACACAGCCTCGGAAGGTCACACAGCCTCGGAAGGTCACACAGCCTCAGATGGTCACACAGCCTCAGACGGTCACACAGCCTCGGAAGGTCACACAGCCTCAGACGGTCACACAGCCTCAGACGGTCACACAGCCTCGGAAGGTCACACAGCCTCAGACGGTCACACAGCCTCGGAAGGTCACACAGCCTCAGATGGTCACACAGCCTCGGAAGGTCACACAGCCTCGGAAGGTCACACAGCCTCAGATGGTCACACAGCCTCGGAAGGTCACACAGCCTCGGAAGGTCACACAGCCTCGGAAGGTCACACAGCCTCAGATGGTCACACAGCCTCGGAAGGTCACACAGCCTCGGAAGGTCACACAGCCTCAGCGGTCACACAGCCTCGGAAGGTCACACAGCCTCAGATGGTCACACAGCCTCGGAAGGTCACACAGCCTCAGACGGTCACACAGCCTCGGAAGGTCACACAGCCTCGGAAGGTCACACAGCCTCGGAAGGTCACACAGCCTCAGATGGTCACACAGCCTCGGAAGGTCACACAGCCTCGGAAGGTCACACAGCCTCGGACGGTCACACAGCCTCAGACGGTCACACAGCCTCGGAAGGTACACAGCCTCAGGACGGTCACACAGCCTCAGACGGTCACACAGCCCTCAGACGGTCACACAGCCTCAGACGGTACACAGCCTCAGACGGTCACAGCCTCAGACGGTCACACAGCCTCGGACGGTCACACAGCCTCAGACGGTCACACAGCCTCAGACGGTCACACAGCCTCAGACGGTCACACAGCCTCAGACGGTCACACAGCCTCAGACGGTCACACAGCCTCAGACGGTCACACAGCCTCAGACGGTCACACAGCCTCAGACGGTCACACAGCCTCGGACGGTCACACGGCCTCAGACGGTCACACGGCCTCAGACGGTCACACGGCCTCAGACGGTCACACAGCCTCGGACGGTCACACAGCCTCGGAGGTCACACAGCCACAGACGGTCACACAGCCTCAGCCGGTCACACAGCCTCAGACGGTCACACAGCCTCAGACGGTCACACAGCCTCGGAAGGTCACACAGCCTCAGAAGGTCACACAGCCTCGGAAGGTCACACAGCCTCGGAAGGTCACACAGCCTCAGAAGGTCACACAGCCTCAGACGGTCACACAGCCTCGGAAGGTCACACAGCCTCGGACGGTCACACAGCCTCGGAAGGTCACACAGCCTCAGACGGTCACACAGCCTCGGAAGGTCACACAGCCTCAGACGGTCACACAGCCTCGGACGGTCACACAGCCTCAGACAGTCACACAGCCTCAGAAGGTCACACAGCCTCAGACGGTCACACAGCCTCAGAAGGTCACACAGCCTCGGAAGGTCACACAGCCTCAGAAGGTCACACAGCCTCGGAAGGTCACACAGCCTCGGACGGTCACACAGCCTCGGACGGTCACACAGCCTCAGAAGGTCACACAGCCTCAGAAGGTCACACAGCCTCAGAAGGTCACAGCCTCGGAAGGTCACACAGCCTCAGACGGTCACACAGCCTAGGAAGGTCACACAGCCTCAGAAGGTCACACAGCCTCAGAAGGTCACACAGCCTCAGAAGGTCACACAGCCTCAGACGGTCACACAGCCTCAGAAGGTCACACAGCCTCAGACGGTCACACAGCCTCAGAAGGTCACACAGCCTCGGAAGGTCACACAGCCTCAGAAGGTCACACAGCCTCAGAAGGTCACACAGCCTCGGAAGGTCACACAGCCTCAGAAGGTCACACAGCCTCAGACGGTAACACAGCCTCAGAAGGTCACACAGCCTCAGAAGGTCACACAGCCTCAGACGGTCACACAGCCTCGGACGGTCACACAGCCTCGGACGGTCACACAGCCTCAGAAGGTCACACAGCCTCGGACGGTCACACAGCCTCAGAAGGTCACACAGCCTCAGAAGGTCACACAGCCTCGGAAGGTCACACAGCCTCGGAAGGTCACACAGCCTCAGAAGGTCAC